TAATCCGCCTAATGTTGTTTCTTGAAACTAATGTATTAATGTTCATAAGGTTTTGCTTTGTCTGTTGAAAATGGCCATGGAAATGAATTTCACTCCTATTCAAGTTCTCTTCTAAGATTATGATGCCAACATGTATAAGTATTCTAGTTATGTTTATTGCGAAATTTTGCTTGGAAGGTATTATACAACCAACTGTAGCTTCACAGTTTTTTGATTTATGTGTTTTACTGAGATGATTGTTGTACTTTACTGTATCTTTTATTTCTATGTTGTTTGCTCAGTTGACTTGTTGAAGCCTGGTACAACTGTTATTCTCCGCAATGCAAGGATTGACATGTTCAAAGGATCTATGAGGCTAGCAGTTGATAAATGGGGCCGTATTGAGGTCACTGAACCTGCTAATTTTGTAGTCAAGGAGGATAACAATCTGTCTTTAGTTGAATATGAGCTGGTGAACGTTCAGGAGGATGGAGGGGCTCCGCCGGGTAGTTAGTATATTTTGACAGAAGAATCAACACAAGTATCAAAATCTATAAAAGCTTTGATGGTTGGTTTTGTTCTTAATTAATAGTAATATGCTGTTGCTGCTGCTGCTTGGGTTATATCCTATTGATGGAATGTTTAGTTTGGGATTGGTTAGGAGATGTTTTTGTGGAAAAGACTCGGTGTTTTAATATAATTTTCATGGCTTAGAGTGTTGTTCGATGTGGCAGGAACAGCTTGTGTTCTTTACTGAAAGGTGGAAATGTAAGCAAGTGTTAATTTTCTTATATTTCTTCTCATCTTCTTTAGCATCCATCAATTCCGTACTTATTTTGTGCTTTTTCTTTTTCTTGTTTACCTCCATCTGTTGAATTCTTCGGCAATATTATATGTGCTAATTGTGTAGATCGACTTCTTGGTTGTTGAAAAATTTTCAAGCACTGAAAGCTGGTCAGAAAATTTATCAAAAGCCATCCATTTGGGCTTGAAGCACTTGACTATGTTCAAGTGCCTTCAAGTGCATGGCATTCTTGTTCCAATTGGGGTCCAAATATAGTCATTCGCATTCATTTTCGACTGTTTATGGTGTTTATGTCATTTTAGTTTTTACATTTCTTTTTTGACTCATGAGTGCTCCTACTACTACCACCCACTATCCTATTTTCCCACACACCCTATACCTCATCAAATTCTGAAAAAATAATAATAATCTTTCCCAATACACTATTATTTAGGCTACATTACACTTTTGGTACCTGTTATTTGAGCAATTTTCACTTTGGTCTGTTTCAATTTTAGCAATTTTAATCTAGTAATATGCTTAGTTTTGCAATTTTGGTCCCAATCAATGATTCTGTTAAAATTGAACAGAATTCTGACCTGGTAGCACTATAGCTTGCCTTGAGCATGGGTATTTTTGACATTTCAAGTGCGTTGACTTTGTGAGAATGTATCGAAAACGACATTTCAAATTCACCTAAAACTCAAATTTACGTGGGCAAAGTCTCATGTTTTGAACCAACTAAAGACGTGAAAGATGCTTTCTTATGTACTCGGTGCACTTGAGATTAAAGTGGAAAACTTCTCAAACTGTAGGATTTGCCCACTTGCTAATATAACATTCTTCTCACACCCCAAGATCATCATCTCACCCATTCTCTTCATATTTTCTTTCTTGAATAAACGCTCATTGTATTCCCTCACCAAAGTATGAATCCACTCTTTCAAACACCCTATGTTTGATTATTTGTCTTCAATGCTGGTTGCGTTTTTTTTTCCCTTCTGAAGTCTTTTCTATTGAGAGGGGTGATAATATACTAAATTTTCACATACTAAACGAATGCTAGGACTCGAACCCATGACCTTTCCTGAGGGAGCAATTGCTCCAACCACTACACTAGTGGGTCCTCTTTTTTTTTTTGGTGAATCACAAGTGGGTCCTTTGCCAATACCGCTACCACAAAAGAAACAAAGAATCGGGCAGAAACCTCTCAAAGAAAAAAGACAAATACGAAAATGATAAGATTGCGATAAATGTCTAAAACATAAACATTCCTTCTAACTTTGATTAGATTGCGATAATGGAAGAAAAATTATGAAACCAGAAGGATTATGATTAGAAGCTAAAAAATTGGATCAGATTTGCTAGGGTTAATGGTCAGAATGTGAACAAAGGATTTATATCAACTAGCTGTACAGTTGAATCAAGGATTTATTCCTTCTTTACATTACTACGTTGTTGCTGCCTGAACTCATTACAATTATCAATCTCCTTGTCGTTTTCATCAAGTCATGGATGGTTCATCTCCAATGCCATCTCGTCCCAAAACGGAAACATAACAGCGCCGTAAACCTTAAGGCCCCGTTTGGTTCATGGGAAAGGAGGCTTGGGGATGGGAAATCAATAACTTTCCCATATTTGGTAAATGCGGGCATGAGAAATAGTTGCCTAGCACATGAGAAATCATGGGAGAAAATGAAGCTCTCCTCTCAACTTGGGTTTTGATTTCCCTCTTCATGGGAAAGTTTGGAAAAATGAGCCAACATTCAATGCACGTTTTTTATTTCCCTACGTCTTATGTTTCCTAAGATGTGCAAGGCCTTCCATTTTTAAAATAAAATCAGAGTTTTGCGGTAACATATCCTGCTTAATTATTTACAAGCAACCAACGATTTCACAAAATACCACGATTTGAAAGAGCTTACCTAAAAACAGCCCTCCACACCCAAAACAGAAAGGGACAAAAAGACAAACAGTAGGGACCAAAAGAAAAGATAGAAACAAAGTCGAAACTGGTCGGTGAAAACACTGTCGTGTCGTGGCGTGGCGTGGCGTGACGGCTGGCCTAAGTTCATGCACTTATTATGATCATGAGCAACATAAGTCGTAGGCCATTAAATATGACGCTTGAAACCCTAATCTTCTAGTATCACAGAAGGCCCGGGGCTAGACATCGCATTACGTACGGTGCATGCATAGAGAGTTCCCAACCACCAAAATGCGTATATAATAATATAGATTAAGATAAGTGGGGAAGATTGTGTAACCCTCCAAACGACAGAATCAGATTGATAAAACTTATACAAAGGGGGAGCATTTAATTTGGTTGCGATAATTTTTTATTTTTTCTCTTGGCTGAATCATTGAGTTTGGTCTAAATAAGATTTTACTCTTCTTTTTTTTGGGTGCAGATTGTCAAACTTCTTTGTATAGTTGACCATAGATCGATGATTGGAAGTTACGTTTCAATCGGATGGTGGTGGTAAACCTTATGTCTCCAGTTTTTGAGCTCTGGTGTTTAACTCATGATTAAAGTCTACAATTGATGTTAATCCACTTGTTTGTTTCTCTATTCATTATCGAGCAGTTTCGAGTTGGATGTTCGAAATTTTAATATTAAATATAATTCATCGATAAAAATAAATTCGAAGTTTTATCCTTATTAAGATAAGAGAAATGTTCTTTTATTAGACTATCTGAGAGACTTTATCTGATGCGATAGGGGCTTTTGCAAGTGGATGTTGTAGGTTATGATAACGTCTCAAATCAATTACTTGCAAACGTTCCATATGGGCTTAAGGGTCAATCAAAAGTGACCCTAAAAGAATATAGTGCAATCAAAGGACAATGACTTAGCAAACATGCATGCATTGGTCAAAACTCAAAACAGTTGATTAGCTCACAATAATCCAATTGCAGGGTCTCGGCATTTTCAGAGACGACGCTAGATTTCAAGACGAACCCATCAAACTGTCTCACATTTTGGGGTTAATTCAAGTCCATCCACGTGACTCCAGAACCCGTGGAGAGCCTCTTAAGTACAGTACTTATGCCTATCCAATCTATAAGGGAGAAACACCAGAAATTAGAAGACACACGTTAAGCATTTGATTTCAACACAACAATGGCCATCACCAACTTGAACAACTTGCAATAGCTAATATTATAGTTTTTTTATTTGCATTTTGCGTGCTATGTATCTACAACGGGGCTCAGCTTTGAACAGAGGATTCGACAAAATATCGAGAAGACATCAATATTGACAATTCATATCGAGGATAAATTATAGAATGAATATACTAGTATATGGCCACGTGGTACTACGGTAGTATGATGACATCGATCTCTATATCGACATGGTATCAATAATATGGATGACATATCGAGTATCCCGCTCCAATTATAGTGAAGCGAAATCTCCTTATCAAGGGCCCTATATTTTATATGGGTACAGTTGATCTTTATGTTACTAACTGGTTTTGTGTATGTTGAGAGTATCCCCCAATCTCGCATTAGTAGTTTAAATTATTTTGGACCTTTTATTCATTGTTGTTTTGTTCTGAGTTGAATGCTCGCATTCTAATATAATATTATAATAGGTTATCCATGTGTAGTGTCAGACGGGCTCAATTGATTTTAGAGTAGATGCTCTCATTCTAATAGTTAATTACTTTGTGATATTTCTCTTTTCATTTTGTTGGAAGATGTTTTAAGTCTAAATCCCTTCCATGGTCCAAGTCTTTTTCTTTCTTCAGATGTGTAATGGCTTAATGCAACTGTCTATAATATTTTCATGTCTCCTGAGGTGATAGTTTTCATAGATAACGACAGCAGGTAAGACTAATTTAAGGGTCACCTTCTATTTGCAAATTGTGATTGATGGTCAAATCCAGCTCGTTCCAAAGACGGCCATTTTGTTTTTTCGAACTCGATGATTTCCTTGAATTAGAATTGTAAGACATTTTTCTCCTTTGTCAGCACAAACAACTTGCTTCATTTTCCACGTTGTAGTGAAATACTCTTCGATTTCTATACTTCAACAAAGAAAGACATTGATATGTTGACCAATGCTCGATGATCAAACTATAATGGTAGCCCACCATGCATCTGCCATAATATACACACACCCACACAAAAAAAAAAAAAAAAAAAAAAAAAAAAAAAGATTAGTAAACTAATACTCAAAAGTCATAAAGATAACATTTTAAAATTGCAGAGAAGTAGGGGTAGGGCTACTTCCCACGTGAAAACCACAAGGGCATGAACTCTGTCTCTCTGGTTTTCAAACCATTATAAGATAGCTTGAACCCAAAACATGCCTCATACTCATAAAAAAAATTATCACTAATATCCTTTCATCACTCAATTAAATATTATCTCCCAATCTCATACAAATCCAAGAAAGTTCAGTTTGATCATGGAATTTTTCCACACCCCAAACCATAAACACTCATTTCAGCACAACAAAAAGAGGCTAACCCAAGAGCAAGTCAATCTCCTAGAGAGAAACTTCACCTCCGACAACAAGCTCGAGCCCGAGCGCAAGCTTCTGCTGGCCAAGCAGCTGGGAATCCCACCGCGACAGGTTGCGATTTGGTACCAGAACAAGCGCGCCCGGTGGAAGACTCAGAGCCTTGAGCTTGACTACAATGCAATCCAAGCAAAGCTGGAGACTGCCTTAGCTGAAAAGAGGAGGCTGGAGAAAGATGTTGAGAGGCTTAGAGGGGAGCTGAAGAAGGCTCATGACTTGGTGTTGGTATTGAACCAAACACAAGAATTGCCTGCTCATCCTGTGATTTGCTCAATGTTTAATTCTTCTTCTGCTGAAGAGGGTGTTGGGAGCTCCAGCCTGCAACAACATGAAGATCAAGTGAGCGATCATGAGGTTAAACAGCTTGAGGAGCTCTATGCTTGTTTGATAGGCATGCAGTGATGGGTTTAATTGATATATGCTGGGGTTAAATATACATATATATATATATATATATTAATATACTTCTGATTCTGGAGGACAATAATTCTGACCCTTTTTTCCTTTTTCTGTTTCTGGTTTTTAAGTTTGATGGTGCTAGAATTTCTTTTTCAATTCATATGCATATGGGTGAGTACAAGGAAAACTTACCTATACTAAGGATATCACTGTGTGGCGCTATCCAAGAGCCAATCATTCATTGTCATACGTTTTAATTTTCCGACATGACAATGCTTAATAGGCTTGGAATACCGCCCCAGCGACATTCTCGTTGTTGAAGAATATAAAGTCCCACATTAGAAACTTGAATAAATAAAATAAAATATATAATGAATGGTTTCACTACTAATATTACCGAATCCTTTTATGATAATATTCCACACTACTACTCGAGTAGAATACTGATAAAGTACATTACATTTATTATAGTGGAGAATAGAAAACAAAAAAACCAAAAACAGAAAAGAATTTGTATAGCAATATCCATCTTAAATCTCAGATTTTAATTACTTCTGAGATAATTATTAGCAGATGGGACTCGTAATTGGATCATAATATATATATATAATTTTTTTTTTTCTGCCATGGTGGTGTGAAATAGAATTCGCCCTTCTCAATTGTTACGTTTTCAATTATTTGGTGTGACAGACAATCAGTTTGTTGAGCAATCAATATTATATGAATAGTAAATTAATTTAAAGGGAAATAATAAGATAAATAGTTGTCGCAAATGTCTGATTCTAATCATTTTTGTGCATTTCATTGATCAGCATCAACTCCTAACTGTCTAATTCTTTGACCCAAAAAAGAAGAGAAAGAAACTGTTTAATAACTCTAACCATCTCTATCATATTCGTATAAGTGGACTTTCATCTGCAAGTGGTTCTCCCCCTCTCTTACTCTGACCTGGCCTAATATTTTTCTCATCTGGCTCTCATCTACTCTTTCTAATTTCTACACCCTAAATTACTCTAAATCTTAACCTAATTTTACAGGTTTTTTTTTTTTTGCTTGAATTGATGATGATGATGATGACATGGAGCGTTCTCCGAAGGTAGCTCTCATTTGTTCGAGGCGTTGTCACTGGAGAATACTCCTATGACATGAAATCCCAAATCTAACTCAAAACTTAATTTGCAAACGAGTTCCCCACCTATGTTCTTCTACTTGTGCACACAATGCAATAACCTATATTAATTGAGCAAGGGATTATTTTGAGATCATTTAAGAAAAACACAACGTATGTAAATTTGATGTTATTTAAAAGTTAGGTAGTGAAAGAAAGAGGTTGATGTTTAATGGCATGATTAGTAATGTGATTGAAAGTTAGAAAATGAAAAATAGGTGATAGGGTTTGATGGTATGTGTGTTTAGTTGATTGGCTCGCTTTGTAATGATTAGTTATATTAAATCTTTCCCCTCTTAAAAAAAAAAAACCTAAAAAATCTTTATTTCGTTGCAATTAAAACAAAACATTTGGTGTGTGTCTTGGAAACGATTCTTGGGTGGCCGAAGAATCGTATTGTTAATTCACGCCCATCAATTGGACAAATTGAATCTATATTTTGAAACCGTTGGATCATGCCCATCAATTGGACGGCTAGGATCACAGTGTTAATTCACGCTGTGCTGTGGAGTTTTGCCTTGCTTGGGCCTTGTGTTATACGACTCGTCGCATTTCGG